CATCCTCTCTTTGTCCACCTTGTGACTTCCACGCAGCACATGCTCGCATGGGTCAGTAGCCCTGTTCAGTGTTCTTTCTTATTTTCTTATGTTCTTATTTCATATGTCGTTATCATGTCTTCCCTACCCCTCCTGTCCTCCTGTGTCGTCAGGCCGATTTTGTCTAATTTTTTCTTCGTGGGACAATCCTCTTATCTTTGGGACTATCATGTGGCAAACCTTTTGCACTTTCTCTAATTTCTGGACTTGCTTGACAGATTTTAATCCAAACTGGTGCTTCATACTCCAATATGTGCCTGACGAACATGGTGGACAGAGTCTTGAACGATTCCTTATTGAGGTACGGAACGCTGTTCACAGGTTTGCCAGGCGCCCGCAAAGCTGCAGCATTATCTGGTTGGTGTGTGCTTCACATGTGACGGTATTATACTCACCCTAAGATCTTTTTACTTGAGTGACATTTGCATTTTTTTTGGCCACCTAGACTATACATGCCAATCCCCGATCTTCATGACTTTGCATTTGGAAGGGTTAAATTCAAAGAGCCAGTTGCTGGACAAGGCCTGCAGCCTGTCCAGGTCTCTTTGTATCCTGCCTGATCCTCATCCGAATTAATTCTCCTCATTAACTTCACATCATTTGGAAACAGGGACACTTCAGAGCGTATCCCTTCCGATATGTCATTCACATGTACCAAAAATACCACAGATCCTAGGACTGACCCCTGTAGAACCTCCGCTCGTCACGGGCCCGCCCACTCTGACACATCGTCACGTACCATGACTTGTTGTTCCCCTCCCTGTCAGGTATTCTCTGATCCACTGCAGTGCCTTTCCGGTTATGAGTGCCTGATCCTCTAGCTTTTGCATTAACCTCTTGCAAGGAGCTGTGTAGAAGGCCTTCTTGTAGTCCAAGAAAATGAAAATCACCCCCCCCTTTCCTCTCGTGGCCCTTACTTCCTTTACCCTGTCAAAAATCTCCAGCATTTTTGTGACAGGATTTTCATTACTTAAAACCGTGATGGTTGTCGTTTATAAGCATGTCTTTTTAAGTGCTCCACCACTCTCTTCCTGATAATCTTCTCCATGACTCGGCATTCTATACACATCAGTACTCTGTGTGTAGTTTATTGCCTCGTGCCTGTCTCCTTTCTTAAAAATTAGGAAAAAACATTTGCTATCTTCCATATCTTAGGTAGTTGCCCAGTTTCATTGGAAGTGTGGTGGTGTGGGTGTGAGCTCACCTATTTGTGGTTGCAGGGGTCGAGTCATAGCTCCTGGGCCCCGCCCTTCATTGATTGCTACAAGGTCCTTTTCTCTCTCCCTGCTCCATGAGCTTTACAAACTTCGTCTTAAAACTATGTAAAGGGGTTTCCTACCTCCACTACGTCACTTTCTAGGCTATTCCACTCCCTGACAACTCCATGATTGAAGAAATACTTCCTAACATCCCTTTGACTCATCGGAGTCTTTAACTTTCCAATTGTGACCCTTTGTTTCTGTATCCCATCTCTGGAACATCCTGTCTTTGTCCACCTTTTCTATTCTGCACAAATTTTATATCTCGTTATCATGCTCCCCTGACCCTTCTGTCCTCCAGTGTCGTCAGGCAAATTTCCCTTAAACTTTCTTGGTAGGACAATCCCCTTAGCTCTGGGACTAGTCTTGTTGCAAACCTTTGCACTTTATCAAATTTTTCTTGACGTTTTTTGACCGGGTTGTAGATTCCAAACTGGCGCTGCATACTCCGTATAGGCCTGACGTATATGGTGTACAGAGACTTGAACGATTCCTTTCAGAGGTATCAGAACGTTATCCTTAGGTTTGCCCGTATGCTGCAGCAGTTATCTGACTGATGTGCGCCTCAGTATTATATTTCACCCTAAAGATCTTTTTTCCTTGAGTGAGGTTTGCAGTCTTTGGCCGCCTAGGCTATACTTTTGCCTGAGGTCTTCTTTGCCCTTTCCCTGGTCTTCATGACTTTGCATGTGGCAGAGTTAAATTCAAGGAGCCAGTTGCTGGACCAGGCTCATAGCCTGTCCAGGTCTCTTGTAGTCCTGCTAAATCCTCGACCGATTAAATTCTTCCCTCATTAATTTCACATAAATCTGCAAATAAGGGACACTTCTGAATCTATCCCTTCCGTTATGTCATACATATATACCAAAAAACAGCACAGGTCCTAGGGCTGACCGCTGTAGGACCCTGCTCGTCACAGGCGCCAACTCGGGACACCTCGTCACGAAAACATGACTCGTTGTTGCCTCCCTGTTAGATATTCTCTGATCCTTTTTGCAGTGCCATTTCTGTTATGTTGTGCCTGATCCTCTAGCTTTTGTATTAACCTCTTTTGAGGAACTGTGTCGAAGACCTTCTTGCAGACCATGAATATGCAATCTATCCACCCCTCTCTCTCTTTTTTTTACTTCTGTCACCTTGTCATAAAACTCCCGTAGATTTTTTGACACAGGGTTTTCTTTCCCTGAAACCGTGCTGGTTTGCCATTTAAAAAGCTTGTATCTTTCAAGGTGTTCCAACACTCTCCTCCTGATAATCTTCTCCATGATTTTGGGATACTATATAAATTTAGTGATACAGGTCTGCAGTTTAATGCCTTGTGTCACTCTCCTTTTTTAAAAATGTGGAATACATTTGCGATCTTCCATACTTCAGGTAGTTGCCCACTTTCAATAAATGTGTTGAAGATCTTTGTTAGTGGCACACACAGCATCTCTTCTCCCTCTCTAAGGATCCACGGAGAGATGTTGTCTGGTCCCACCAACTTTGAGGTATCAAGTTCACATAGCAGCTTCTTCACCTCCTCCTCGGTTGCATCTACCTCATCCAGCACTTGTTGGTATACTCTCTGTTCTGAATTTCTGGATTCCTTCCTGTTGCCACTGCAAATACTTCTTTAAATCTCATGTTGATCTCCTCACATACCTCTTGTTCGTTTCTTATGAACTACCAACCTTCCTTCCTCAGCCTGATTATCTGGTCCTTGACTTTTGTTTTCTTCCTGATATGGCTATACAACAGCTTTGGGTCTGTGAAGGCTTACTCAGCCCTGTAACAACTTCAGACAGTATTACCAAGGCTGGCTCCTCCTCAGGATTATTAATGAATAGAAAAAGAAATAATAATTCACAAAGAAACAT